GGGGGAGGGGGCTGCGGGTACCTGCTCCTGCCTCCATTGCAGCGTGGTGAGGTTCAGCATCCAGCAGTCGCTGGCGACGCCGCCGGCCGCCAGCCCCCCCAGCACCACCATGGCCTGGCGCGCTGGCACGTAGGCCGCGGCGTGGAAGTAGCGGGGGCTGGGCCCCGGCCCCCCGTCCTCCGTCCCCGCCAGCATCTGGGTCCAGCGGCGCTCCGGGATGGAGTACCTGTGGGGAGAGACCCAGAGCGAGAGAGTCCCCCGGAGCCGGGGGGGCCAGAGACCCACAGCCCCACCCCCAGAGCTCGGTGTGGAGCCCGAGGAAGGGGGCGGAGCCCAGCAGGTCACAAGGGCGGAGCCTGAGGAAGGGGGCGGGGCCCAGCAGGTCCTGGGGGCGGGGCCCAGCAGGTCCCAGGGGCGGGCCTGGGGAAGGGGGCGTGGCCCAGGGGCTCCCCGCTCACCTGTAGACGTTGCCCAGCAACCCCTGGCGCAGGGACAGGCCCCCGAACATCCAGAGCGTGGCCTCCGGCCCCTCCACCATGGTGTGGCCCAGGCGGTGCAGGAACCGGCTGGCCGTGTCCTGGGACAGACGCAGAGGCAGGGTCAGCACCCGGGGGCCGGGGATCGGGGCTGGGAAGCCAGCGTTGGGTGTGGGGCAGGGGACGGGGACGGGCAGGAGGCAGTGCCCAGCACATGCAAGGGGGTGGGTGCCCATGCCAGGCAGGGCAGGGGCTGGGGGGATGGTGCTAGGCAGGGAGTGCCAGGATGGGGACGAGGGGAGGGCCTGCCAGAGTTGGGGGGATGGGCTGGGGACGAGGGGAGGGCCTGCCAGGGTTGGGGGGATGGGCAGGGCAGGGCAGGGGGGTGCATGAGCAGGTGGTGCCCAGGCAGGGGGCGAGGGGGTCCCAGTGGGGTTGGGGGGCTGGGCGGGCCCGGTGGGGTTGGGGCAGGGCGGGGGGGTGCATGAGCAGGTGGTGCCCAGGCAGGGGGCGAAGGGGGGGCGGTGAGGTTGGGGGCTGGGGCTGGGCTGGGGG